GAAGCGCAGTGCCCTGTGGTAGAGCGGGGGGTTATTTTTGACAGGCTGCGATGTCGTTTGATGGTTGCCGTGGGTTTGGGGTTGTCCGGTGCCCGTCAGGCTCAGTTTTGGCGTGATGGCGGCGACCTGCGCTGCTGCTGTGGCAGCTTGATGCAGCGTGTGATCTTGGGTCTGTGGTAGCCAAGCAGGCCTCTTGACATAAACCCTGGGTTTTAGATCAAAATCCTTCTGTTTCACAGTCAAAATTGTGAATGGCCACCTGTGGCCGGTGAAATTGTTGCTCTTCCCCATCTAGCTCAATCGTATTGTTAAAATACAGGGCTAGACGTTCCCAGACGTACAGGTGCTCCACCATTTAAGAGGCAGTATTGCAGGGTATGGAAGGGTCTCTGGCCCTCTACCTGCCTCCATAATGCTTTCTTCCTCTCCCAATTCGTTGATTTCCGTCCCCTGCCGGCTCACCAGGTGCCCTGATGGAGGCATCCAGCTGGCACAGCAGCCCGCCATGGCCAGGAGCAGAAGCAGCTCGCCAGCCCGCCCGCCTGCACCGCGGCCATCGGTAACTCGGCAGGGGTCAGGGTGCTGCCCACAGGTCCCTGAAGCCTTCTCATTTTCAATCAGAGTGCCCCTGCCAAAGGTGTATTGAATTTGAGTTAGGAGCTCTTGTGTGTGTATCAGTCATGCAAGTGTAAAAATGACCTTTTCTCTGTAATACAACAGCAGAGATCATTTCCCTAGCCAGTAATTTTGACCACGTCTCTCTTTACCAGCTCTCCCTTCTCTCTCACTCAAACCTAATGTACTTGATTTGCTTTCAAGGTCATTCTCTGTCTACCTCACCTATGATTCATTATTTACAGGACAACTCTCACCAATCCCTGACACCAGCTTCCACCACCCACTTGTTAAATTTTTGGATAAATATTAAAATATTAAAAATATTAAATAATTTTCTTTCATTCTGCCTCTCAGATGTGGGAAAAGGTATTTTTTTTGAGTTTCCAGTAACTCAATTTGGAAGCTGGCACGCCAAATCTTGTACTTGCCATAACGATCATTAATGCCTCATTATTTCTTCGTACTTCTCCATTCTCTGTCTGTTCACTGCCTGCTCATCATGTGTTTAAACTGCAATCTTTTTTTTTTGTTTTGTGTTTTTACGGCTCCTAACACAATATGTTCTTGTCCATGATTATAGCTCCTAAGTGTTACGGCAATACAGTGAATAAATTGTAACTACAGAAATGTAATTCTTCCCAAAACAAGTATTATAAACACTAGGAAACTGAGATTAAATTTAGTTTCTAAAGAAATTCAAACATGTTGGTGTGAAAATACAAAACTAAACACCCCAGTAACATTGATTCTGCCATGCAATGCTATCATGCAATAGCTATAGAATTATTTTGCATTATATTGTTGATAGCTGCTGGTAGAATTAAACCAGGTTTTGAAGATGTATTCCTTTTATTTCTCATTGTTTCCTACCTGGTCCATCAGTTGGATGGAGCTGAGATTGCGTGCACATTTCCATAGATTGTTTGAATTTCTTTCTATACTTTTACATGAAAAACGTAAAGTGGTTTTAAATATATTAAAGCCTTAAAACTGTAGATCAAGGTGAACTGTGTTCATTGCATGCTTATTCCAGCTGGTTGCTGAAGGATACATGTGGGAGGAAGAAAGGAAATAATTTGAAAGAAAGGGCTTGGGTTTTCTATTTTGTTTATGTTTTTTTTTTAGTCATCAACCTCTGGGCTTGCTTGACAGTAACTATGAATAAGCCGTCTCTGTGTGTAAGCAGAAGTGTATCGGTGTTTTCTGGTCTCTGTTGAAGTCTTTTGCTCTTACATTGCACTTGCAGTGTTTTTGCCAAGGAGTTGAGAAAGCAACGTATGCTTAATTCAGTCACATGGAATTTTGGGGTGGTGGACGCACATCATCAGACCCACGAGTGGCTGCAAAGATTGGGGCTAATCGAAACGGATTCTTCTGGTGGGCCCCCTCTAGCTTAAGAAGAGTGCTTAGCCTTCCTGAAAGCTTAAATTGTTCATATTTTCTATGTGACTGTTAGGAAATACTTCCCCAAACTGCAAATTAATCTTTAATTTGCATATGCTTTCTCAACTTTCATTAGTAGGAAGAATAGCTAATTTGTTTTCTCTCCAAATAAATGTTGTTTAGTCTTTGATGCAGTTATTGAATCAGTTATCGATTTTCTGTAGTAACAATTTTTTATTTTTGTAGCTCATCTAAAACATCTACGAATACATGTTAGTATATGATATTGTTGCATTACTGAAATAATTGTCTAGATATGGGATAGGATCTAATTTTACTATCTTTTAATGCCCAAATCATTACAACTTTCACAAACTTTATGGTTTGTTTCAGAAACAATGGTTTCTGCCTCGCTGTTTCTCTGGCTGCTGGTCTAGCGCATTGCCATAGTGTACTCTGTAACATCAGCACCCCACTGTTATGTGGAGCCAGTTTTATGTTCTTCAGTTTTACTTAGAGAAACCGACATAGTCTGAGTATGAAATGCTTCCTTAACTGCGGTTACGTTGTCTTCCAGCAACTGCAAAGGGAAATCAAGATCCCCTCTTCGTGTCTCTTGATCTTCACCAGACTTGAAGAACCTGTAGTTCTTAGAGCTGGAGGTATGTTTGCTTTATGTTTCCTGTATTTGCTCTTTCTACCCTACCAAGTGTCTGCGTGAGGCAGGCACTGTAAGAGACCAGAAATCTGAAACCATTTCTTTCATTGTAGTTTCCATAGGTGGCTGTAATGTCCATAATATGAAGTAATTAAGCGATCGGTAGTCATAATTTGAGCCAAATGGAGGGCCATGCATGTCATCTGCTGCGGAAGTATTGAGAGACAAGTAATGGGTTCCTGTACGTGTCCGTGAAATTCCACAAAGAGCAGTATTATTAATTTGGTCAAGATACAAGAGTTAAATGGGTTTGGACACAATGTCGCATGATTTATTGCTCATTTCTTCTAGTGTCCCCAGCCTATATTATGCCCATCCACAGTTGCATCTACAGGAGTAATTACCTGATAAAAGACACAAAAGAAATCGGTTTTGTTGAGAGTAAAACACAATCCTAGCTCAGTCTTACATGTGATGTGTTCATAAAAAGGCAATGAACTCCAGATTGCCTCTCTGTAGAAATTTAGAATAAAAATATCCCAGAAGCAACCAAAGGATTTTGAGTGGAAGGTAAGCTCATAGTTTTTAATTTTATGTTACACTGTTTCGCTAAGTATACATCTGTATACGTTTCTGACATTTTATCAACTATTTTAACTTAGTTCACAAAATAAATTAATGTAATTCTTAATAATATATATTAATGGCCCAAACTCTTCCCCTAGAAGTCTCATTTTATCTTTACATCCCCCAAAGTAGCCTGCTGTCATCCCCTAGAAGTCTCATTTTATCTTTACATCCCCAAAGTAGCCTGCTGTCATTAACTTCTTAGCAGTTCTGTTCTCGGTATGGACACACTGTGATTTTTGCAAGAGGCAAAATTAGCTCACGAAATCAAACAGAATAGCAGTTTTCAATTAATTTGGTATAGCTAGGTTATTCTGCAAACGGGGAAACTTCCCCATTCATTGTATGTCAGTGCAATGAGAAAATGAGATGACTGTGGCATTTCTTAACCGAGATCTGAAGGACAGAAACGGCTTCTGTTTAAGGCGCAGATTGGGAATTCTAAGCTGTTGCTGCAGTTTCTGCTAGGTTTACCTTACTACATCCTTGGGCAAATCTATCTGGTTCTTCAATTCCTTAGTCATTAAATGGAAATAATAATTCGTCCCTTTCTCAGGAGTGTTTTTGGAGATAAAATCTGTTAATGACTGAGAACCTCAGGTATTGTGGTATCAGGGGTTATACAGACATCACTGTAAAAGCCAACCTGAGGGCTTCCTTTGTCCCTACAAACGCATAGACACTGTGTGTCAAGAGTCGCCTCAACACGCTTTTTCCAGGCATGAGCTACAGGAACTCATTTCTACATTTCTCTCATCTAGGCCTTGCTTGCTGTGTTGAAATAAGATACCAGAACCTTCACGCATTTGTTATGGTGCTCATTTATGAAAATGTATGGATTTGAATTGGAAGATTTTTAGGCACAAAGACTAAAGGCAGACATTTAAAGAGTTGCCCAGTTTAATTTAGAGGGAGCTGCGGGTGCTCAGCACCTCTCTGATAATGAAGATCGGGTTGTTTACTTGTTCCATTGTACTCCCTTCACCATCTATCTAATCCTATCACATAATTGTCTACAGAAAATACTCAGACGCCTGGTTTCTTTACTGTTTTGTATAATCGGGGATAGTGTCACCATGCAGTGAAAAGAACCACAGAATGCTGTTTTTCAAAGGCATAGGCTCAAATTTGCAAAACACTTTCTCACTGGATCAGGAATGAATAGTAAGATTATTCTGCCTATTTGTTTTCCTATTTATGGCTAGTTGCTGTTGGGTTATATAGTGATGATAGCCTCGGCATTATGCGAAATACATGTGCAACTACTTTAGCGAAAGAAATAGAAATGTGCCCTTTTGCGATACGCAGTTTTTGGCCGTATGTCCAGGTCAGTAAGATACGGAAGCTATTAAAGGAACCAGACTTTTATTCACTAATTTCACAGATTGTCTTTGGAGAATAGCAGGGTGAAACAGAAATTAAAGATACCCATTTATATAAGTGGAAATAGAAAGTGGTATAATTAGTGTCAGTTTTCCAGTATTAATGGTAATGAGCAGACAGGACTGTTTTCATAACAGAAAAGCATTTTCTCCCCAAATTGAGTGCAAATGAACCTTTCCTATTACCTTCTTTGCTAGTACATCATATCTACCAAAAAGGTGTTACCTATCGATTAGCTAGCATGTCTTTAATTCTTTGATTTTAAAAAATTATTAGTGGAAGTAAGTTAAAGTAAATGCCCTCTAGACAGTTTATAAATGAGAAATTTCAGCTTCATGCCGGATAATACAGCTTCTGCAATTATTATCTCCATCCCTGCTTGTAAAAATGCCTTATGTTAAAAAAAAAAAAAAATAATTTACTTGCCTTTCAGTTTCATTTTTTGGCTTGGGAAGTTGCAAATAATTTGTGTCTTCCTTTCCTGATGGAGGCTTCTTTAGCAGTAAAGGCAGCAAACAGAAGTCTGCAAACCGCGTTTGTGTGTTTGAGTACTTGCTTTTTCTGATGACAGCTTCAGTCTTAGAGCGTCAATACTTGAATACCAGTGGAGGTCAGGTTGTTTTTAACCTGAATTTCTCCAGCAATATCTGTCTCCGGGAATGAGTGTGCATGTGCTTGCCTTAACCACAGCCACACTTAATGAAGTGACTAATACATATTCAGTTTTATGTGGTGTCATTATCATGTAGCTTCTGTATTTTCTTTTATTGTCTAATTGTCAGAAATTGCCCTTTCTTTTTGGTATAAAAGAGAAAGAACTCTTATCTCATCTGTACAGCAAGATGTATTGAATTTTTAATCTAGTCACGGCCAACAAAATAATTTTCTTAAAATAATTCCTGTGGACTCTCCTGACTGCGTCTGACTTGTCATTCTTTGTTATGTAAGGGCATGTATTTTAAATGTTTACAAACAACTGAATTAGGAAGAAAAATGGAATGCTCAGTTGTTAATTGACTTGCTCTTCATTTTGATTTCTTGCACTTCTTGACACAAGACCATGGAGTAGAGTCAGGTTTTGTTAGAATTGTGGTGGTGTGTAATGGAACAACAGATGATCATCTGAGTTTAAGGAAAGTATTTATCAGAAGAGAAACCATCATCTAACTTAAGGGAAAATATTTTAAAGAAGGGATCCTGGCATATAGAATCCTTTTTCACACAGAAGCTGGTACTCCCACGTGTTGTTTTCTTTTTCAGCTGAGTCTGAGCTTTCTGTTGGAAAAGTTGGGCTGGTATTTTTGCTGTATGGTATCTTTGAGTGTCAGCTGAGAAATGCCTCCATTTGTCATAGAGGCAGCGTAATGCATTCGTGAGGACACCAGACCTTCTGTCAGTAAGAAATAATATTGTAACTTTGCTGTTACTTTTTTTTTAAATAACAAATGTGGCCAATTTCCATTGCAGAGTAAGTACCAGCTTAGAGTAATGTTTCAGTCTTTTTCAAACAATAAATCTCTGTGGTAACTGCAGTAGTCAGCGCATGGAAAAGGCAGGGTGAAAGCGCCTTTGCTCCTCACTCTATGGAGCCATTTTTACACATTTGCAGGAAAGGATGGTAGTGGCTTTGCACGTGTTTCTCTTACACACTATTATCTAAATACAGGTAGCACATGCAAGAAAGTGAAGAGACATAAAACACCCTTTTACTATTGAGCTGGGAATGACACAGGTTATAGTAAATGACACTACTCCAAAAACCTGACCATTCTAAAGCACAAATGCCTGCAAAGAAGTAAATTGATGGTGTGGAGCTCTGCAAGAAAGCCTAGGGTGAAGCAAAGAGCAGAGCTCTGTGCCAAAGGGGGTGTCTGGTGTCGATGGGCCGTCTGGGTGACATCACCCACCGACTGGCCTTCCACATCCAGAGCCTCGTACCTGTGGGGCAGGGGCACCTGGGTGGGCACGGAGGGGGTTCGCCTGCCGCCCCGAGCATGAACTTGCCTCCATTCCCTCTTCCTTTAAGCGACTGCCTTCAGCCTGGCGGGAGGAGGGTACAGGATCCCCTCCATCTTTGGGCTCTTTCTGGTGGCTGTGGCTGTTTCTGTCTCAGGGAGGGCTGAGCCTGGTTCCACCAGTCTCTTTCCCAGACTCCCTGATGCTCCTTAGCCTTTCTACATCCTCTCGTAGCTCTGCCACCGGGGCTGAGCAGATCGTCCCCTCGGTCACACCTCGGCTGTTCTCCCCACTGCCACCCGGTCCAGCGAAGGGCTCCCGGACGCCCGC